GTCATCTTAGTGGCTAAAGTAGGTGCTTTTTCAGGGAACCTGTACTTGAAACCAAGCCCAGATTTCATTGCTGTACAGTCATTGGGCGAGTAGATCTCTTAGCCTCAGTTCCTTCCTCGGGAAACAGTTGAGGAATGAGAAAATAGGGATAATACATGAGGTGTATGTATTTGTGAAGCGCTGAGTGATGTTAGAAAGGTATTGGTCATAGAATGCAAAGAAGGGGAAAGGGGGCCAGTTTTGGAGTGGGTCACCCATGGATTATAACCCTATTCCCACTCTCCCTGAGGACAGCTACTTCCTCTCCCTTATAGCTTCTTATCTCCAAGATAAAATTACAATTGTCTCACAGTGTTATAAGGATGACACCTAAAGTATGTCAAACGCCTCTCCAGTGTCTTCCATCTTGTAACCTGTTGCTTGGCATCACGGGAGAGACGTAGCAAAGAAGGCAGTGTATGAAGCAACAAGTTTAATAGTCTGGAAATGCGGTCCCAAGCCCTTGCAATACTCCTTATCCTTGTGGATCTCCGGACCCATCACCCCAGCTGAAGCCTCAGACTTTTCATCTGCAAACATATTGTGACAGGTAAGATCTGTCTTTTAACTGCTCCCAGTACCCACCCAAAGCACTTCCTGGCTTAAAATAAATCCACTAGAACTATTCTGGGTACGTCTAAAACAGAAACCACAGGGCAGAAGACAAAAAAAAAAGATTATGAGAGAAGGAAGTATACTGAGTTTCATATCAATCCTTTTCTACCCGCAAGGGAAATAGGCTCTTGTTGCAATGCCTGCCTACTCCTCCCCAGGCAGAGCCTCTATAGAGGGGAGCTCTGGGGAGTCTACACTTTGCCAACTGTGTTTCATTGGAGTTTATTTCTTAGGCTAGTGAAAAAGCCTTAGAGTGTAATTTTAAAAAAAAAACATTGGGGTCATACTTCAAATATGTTCAGGCTAAAGGGCTGCTTCAAGAAGATTTCAACCACACTATATGACAAAGATACCAAAACCAAGCTCCGAAAGCAGGAGCCAGGAACCAAAAGACTGAAAACTAATTATCAATGAGGAAAAAAGACTCCCATGGGTTGTGAGGATCTGATGCCTCTGGCATCTCCTCTGGACATATATGAGCTTTCCAGTCTAGACACAGACCGGAGGGAAGTCTACCATGTTGGTGAGAATATTGTCAGTATAACATGATGGGAGCTTCAAACAGAAAGAAGGTTTAGTCATTAACATTCTGATTTGGGAACTCTAGAGAACAGAGACAAAGCCAAGGGGAACCAACCAGCCATGGGCCTCATTCACCCCTCCCTACAAGGTGACTAAGGCAAGTTCCCCGAGTCTCTAGCCACTCCCGCACCACGTTCACCAGTGTGCATCAAGTTGCATTTAGTTGGGTCTCAGTAGGTTTTGGTGGCCAGGATGATGACACATGCCTTTAATCCTAGCACTTGGGAGCCTGAGCCTGAGGCAAGTCTGGGTTACGCTGTGAAATCTTGTCTCAAAACAAAAACAATAAATAAAAATGTTTGTAGGATGAGTAACTCAGGAGAATATTCTCTAAGAACTTTAGGTATTGATTCTGTTTGTAGATCAAGTAAACCTTAAGATACTGGGCTACAGATGTTTATTTATGTAGTCTATGGTTTTTATGTTTGTGAACTTTGTATGTACCCCGTGCCCAAGGAGTCCAGAGTAGGGCATTGGATTTCCTGAAACTGGAGTTACAGATGGTTGTAAATTGCCACGCGGATTCTGGGAATGGAACCTGGGTCCTCTGCAAGAATTGCTAGTGTTTTTTTTTTTTTTAATGACTGAGCTGTCTTCCTAACCTCTAGAGATATGTGTTATTTCTCAAACATTCATCTGAGCATAAGGCAAGGAACTTCAAAGTGAAAGTATCAGTTAATGAAATGCTTCACATTCTGGATTTGTGGTGTTTTTGCCATTAGTGTTTATAGCACTGTAAATGGCAACATTAGTGCTTCTCCTCCCTCGGTGTCTTAGTGTGTGCGGACACACTGATGAGTACTAGGTGACTCACAGACACCAGAGACATGTTTCTCACAGTTCTGGAGTCTGAGAGAGCAAAGGTGCTGGAGAATTTGGCATCTAGTGAGCATCCATTCCACAGAGATGGTGACATCTCACTGTGTCCTCCACATGGCACAGGGCAGAGGGGTAAAGGGTTCCACTTTAGGATAATCCCACTCATGGACTAAAGGCATTGCTTCTTAATACTGTTATCTTGGGGACTATGTTTCTGCAGGAATTTGGGGGCAGGCAAACATTCAGATCAAGACACTTTTCTCACAGGTTACCTCTTTTTATCTTTTGGTCTTCAGCCTCCAGCACAGTGCCTGCCACACAGCAAGAACTACTAAGTTTGTGCTGGATGATTCTTAGGCACTTCCTACCTGAGCTCTATTGTCACCAAACCTCTAAAGCACATTATTTTTGACTTTGTAGTTTGGTTAGGTAAGTTTTTCTTGCACGTATCTCCCTAATTTAGTGGTTTTCAAAACAGTAAGCTCCCCGAGACAGTCTGACTTATGACATAGCACTTGGCATGAAGGAGCTGCCCAGGAAGTAGCTGATTGAGTAATAACTGAAAATTTTATTTTGCTAGAGCTAAAGTACAAGTATATGAAATGATTATATATCATGACATGAGCTAATATTATACAATAAAAGCTCTCAAAACATAGCATATTATAAGCCATGTTTACTTTTAAAATCATGTCTTTAACCTGGTCTTTAAAATTGAAGTCCAAACATGATAGATGTTACCTAATCATCAACCATGTTAGATACATTCTTAAGAACGGTACATGTTGGAATCAGAGATTACTAGCATTAAAACCCTCTGGGGTTAGTTACATTGCTGTGTGGTAAAGAGCATCTTCAACATGAACAAGTCCCCAGTTTCACCCCAGCATCACTAGTAAGGGTCTTTTGTATATTAATGTTGAGCATTAAATCACCCAATTAAAAAAAAAAACTGGCTGAGTGCTTCCTATATGCAAGAAGATAGAACAGAGAGAACTTGGTAGAATTGGGGTACAGAGCACAAGACAGAAGATACTGCCTTTTGGAAGTGCTTGTCAGCTGCTGAAGCATGCAGTTGTAGGTAGGAAATGCCTCATTTTCTTCAGTCTTCTGTCATAACACATCTTTTCACATTCTATGAACTGTCATTATCATGTCTGATATGGGCCCAGGGGTTCCATTTGAGGGGCTAGAGATGACTCAGCAGTTGAAGTGCCTGCTGCTCTTTCAGAGGACCTGAGTTAGGTTCCCAATATCCACCTGGCTCCCAGCCACCTGTAACTCCAGGTACACATCTGATGCATTTCCTGGGCTTGGAGTGCTCCTGTACCCACGTGATGAGCATACATGCAAGCAAAACACTCATGCATATATAAAAGTCATTTTTAAAACATTCATTTGAAAATTATGACACTATATTTGTTTTTAAATGGACCCAAAAGAAACAACGTAAAGAACTTAACTAGCTTATGAAGATATCTAAGCACGTTTCATAGTCCAGGCATTACGGTAAAGGGGGTTCATTTGTGATGTAGATGAATCAGTATGTCCCAAAAACAGATGTTCCAACAATAGGGCTTGCTATTTAAAAAAGCTTATGGTAAGCCTTCTCGTGAAGAAAATATTTATGCTGAGTGGTGGTGGCACACACCTTTAATCCCAGCCCTTGGGAGGCAGAGGCAGGCGGATCTCTGTATTAGACCAGCCAGACTGGTCTACAGAGTGAGTTCTAGGTCAGGCTCTAAAGTTTTACAGAGGAACCCTGTCTCGAAAAACAAACAAACAACAACAAAAAAGAAACTATTTATTTCTGATTTACATCTCTTTGTTTGATTACTCTTCACTCCTGGATCATATAAGTGGAATGTAAAAGTTGTTGCATAAACTATTTTGATAATAGAGCTTAATTTTTTGTTGCAAACATACTGTGTTATTGAATTCTGAGTCTCTTCTTTGAATCTTACTAGAATGAGACTCAGGACAAGTCGTTTACTTCTCTTTGCCTCAATAAAACGGGGAACTTGAAGTATGCACCTCGTAAAGGTAGGACAAGGTATAAATTGCCGGACAGCACTGAACTCTGAGTCTATAATCAGTCAGTAGAGGTTCCCTCAGAAGCTAGTCTTTCTAGACCTTCATCCCCACCAGCCTTCCTTCTTTGGGGGAAAAAAATCCCTACAGAATAGTGTATTGCCCACTCTTGGGGCTTGGGGTGGCATCTTTCCTACACACTCTGGGGACAGGGCCATGGGAGTGGGGGAACCCCAAGCCACCTCAATATCAAGTTCTCAAGTCAGGGGAAATAACTGGAGAAGCCTGTCTGGTTTGTTTGTTGCATAGCACTTCCTAACCCTTAATCAGGAAACTGGGTTTTAATTCTACACAGAAGAATGATTCTACCATTCTTCACCACTGCTTGTTACACAGGAGTGGCCATTGATGGACTGCCCTTAAAGAAGTAGGTGGAATCGCCCCGGGGCTCCCAACTAGGAAGGAAAGGCCTGCAAAGACGCTCCTCCCTCCGGGACCTGCAATCCTACAGCCTGGACTAGCAGTGGGCCTGGGCACTGACAGGCCATGCCCCCAGTTGGCACACTGCGGTCCAGGAGGCATCCCCACTTGCCAAGTCGGGCCCGGGCTGTCAGACCGTCCACCCGTCTGTCCAGCAGACATTTCTCCGAGCCTCCACTTGCCCAGCGCTGCTCTGTAGTAGGCAGCCATGGATGGGAAAGCGGAGAAGATGAGGCGGCGCTTCCTCCGCGCTTCCCAGGCGGCCGGCCGAGACTCTGCCCTCCCGGGGGCGGCGGTCGGGGTCGGCGCCGCCTGCGCACTGGCCGGCGCGCGCTCGCCCTCCGTCCGGACCGCCGAGCCCTGACGCGGAGCCCCCCAGCGGCGCACGGCGGCCTGGGCACCGGCGAGCGCCCGCCCTCCCTCCGCCGGCGCCGGGCGGCGGCCCACGTGACGGGAAGCGGCGGCGGCGGGGCCGGCAGCCCAGGAGCCGCGGCCGGAGCGGGCGGCGGGGCCCCCAGGCCGCGGGCGGCGCGGGACAGCTGCGCTGAGCTGGTGAGAGGCGAGGGACAGCTTGGGGGAGCCGCGGGTGCGCGATCGGCCCTGGCGAGCGCCCGCGCAGGTGCAGCGGGGCGAGAGCGGGCGGGTGCCTGCATGACTGGGCCAGCTGTGCCGCCGGGGCCCGGCGTGCAAGCTGGGGGAACCTGGGGTGTTCACCCGCGCGGGGTCACTGTGTACCCTGTGATCTGGGGGTGTGTCAGTGTAAGGCAGAGGAAAATCCGAGACACCTAGCCCTTGAACTTGCGTTTCTGGGGAGAGAGAGATCAGGATCAGGAAGGACTGTGCTGGTGCGCCTCCACCCTTTGGGTGGAAGGGTTGGGGTGCGTGTGGAATTGAAGTTTCCCGAGCTCTGTGGATTAGGGGTTGAAATTGGGGTCGGTCTCAGGTCTGAATTGAGAGACTTGGGGAGACCAGGCAGGGGAATGCTGAAGAGGAAAGAGGAGGCCTGTGTCTGATCACCCTGGTCCCAGTGTTTACCATGGGTGCACCAGATCAGGGAGTTGCTCCCCAGTGGGACTTTTCCTTCCGTAGCCTTCTGCCTGACTTCTTAGAGTGCTTCATAAAGCTGTGCAGTTGCCTCCTGGTCTTGCTTCTGTCAGAGGACTGTTGGTTGAGTCTCAGAGGCCGCTGCTCTGGGGCTACAACTGGGTGCTCAAGTGGAGTTCACACTGCTTCTTAGTCGGGGGCTGGAGTCCAGCAGATATGATTGATCACCCCTGTGCTTTGGGCAAGGCCTGCTGGGTCAGGAGGGCAGGCGGGCAACATTGGTGTTAATGTGGTGGCACGGGAAGACTCCGAGAAGGGGTGCCCTGCGAGCTGGCCTACCTGCCTGCTGCTGGCCGGAGCACGCGAACAGAGACCTGCTGGTGTGCTGTGTGCTGCACTCTGATGCTGGCGGTCAGGATTCTTTCTTGGTCAGCAAAGATGAGGACTCACAGCTCCAGGGTCAGAAAGGAAGAGACATTTGGACAGCTGCTTCCTTTTCTTTTTCCTTTCCTTTCTGCTAACCAAGCAACTACCACTTTGGTGTGAAACCAAAGACTGTGCTTGACCAGAATCCCCAAGAACCTGCCCACAGCACCTTTCCCCAGACCCTGGTTTATCACACTCCGTGGCCACGATGAGGGTGAGGCTGTGGGTGTAGATCCCACTCCTGTCACTTCCTAACAGTGACCTTTGGATGCCATTTTCCTGATCAAAACGGGACTAATAGGGTGTGGTGGTACCTGCATTCAGGAGATAGAGGTAGAAAGACAGGGAGTTCAGGACCGTCATCAACCATTCATGACTGTGTATCACGTTTGAGGCCGGCCTAGCTTACACGAGGCCCTGTCTTATCTCCCCTTTTCACCAAGTAGGGCTAATTTTACAAAAGGTGTGTGAATTCCCATAAAATATTCATGCGAGCCATCTATCATAAGACCCGACACTTAAGAGAAAATAAATGATTGTTCACAAGCAGAAATGAGAGCGTAAGGCCGTGCTTCCTTCCACTCTCAAAACCCAAGGTTCTATGCTCTGAGCAGTCGTTGATCCCATGGAGGCATGACTGTGGAGTTAAGCTGTGGATTCTGGATTTCAGTTCACTGACCATGCCAAGGTGAGGGTTTTCAGCTCATTGGTAAGACTTGGTAGGACTCTTGGCCTTCCTTTCCTCTGCCATTCTTCCTTCACTCTTATCTGAGGAGCAGTCCTTTGGCAGTCCTAGGACAGACAGAGCTGTTCACTGCAGCAGGCCTGCAGCACCGAGTCAGCCTTGGCCTAAACTCTCTGGAGATGAAGATTGGTACTGCCCTGTGCTTCACAGTAGCTTCTTCTAGTTGTGAAGCTGACAACGCCTGGAGCTTGCTGCTTAAAAAGCAACACTGGGGCCTGAGGATGGAGCTCAGAGAGTATGGAGCTAGCCTGCATGAAGGAAGCCTTGGGCTCCATCTCTAACGCCACATGAAGCCAGGTGCAGTGGCACAAGGCTGTAATTCCTCCACTTGGGAGGGGAAGCAGAAGGATCTGAGTTCAAGGTCTTCTTTAGCTACAGAGAAGAGCCTGTTTAAAAAAAAAAATCCTGCCCAAATGAATAGGGGCCTGGCACAAATGTAAATAAAGGTTTTGAAAACAAACAAAAACAATGCATTTTTTTCCAGACCTGACTTGCAATTAGCATTTCTGCTTTTTACAGTTATTAAAAGCCTTTTATGCTAATGTTAAAGCTTTGATCCTTTATAAAAATGACTCAGTTTCCCTGATTGGGTTAAACATCTCTTCTTGGTCAGGATCCAGTCCTCATCAGAAAGACATTAAAGTCATGATTTGTGGCAGCCAGGTGTTTGGGTTCTGCAGAATAATTTGGCTGAGATCTTACAACTCCTCTCCTCTGTGGCAAACCCGCCTGCTTTATTATATGAAAAAAAATACATGACCACTAAACAGACGCAAAACTTAACTCAGTCTGGGACTACCCCAAATAAGGTTGAGTGCATTCTGGCCATCCCAGCACCCCAGAGACTAAATCAATGGAATTCTGTGTTTGAGACTAGCCTTGGCTACATGACAAGATCCTGACTCAATCTAGGCATGGTAGTGCACATCTGTAGTCCCAGTACTCAAGAGGCCAAGACAGGAGGATCAGTTTGAGATAGAGGCCAGTCTGGCTCATAGTGAATTCAAGACCAACCTGGACTACAGTGGTCTCAAACAAGTAGCACCCTGCTACCACACAACACAAACAAAATACGAAGAGAGAAATGGAGAAAGGAATAGAGGAAAGGAATGAAGCAAATTAAAAATAACTATGACCAACCCAGTCCTTGGGGCTCTCATGAGGGTCAGCCATAGTGTTCTCAGGGATACGTTGTCTGGTACCCATCCAGGCTTGAGCATCCTTTGGACTATACATGTTAAATACAGCATCCATTCTTGAGCCAGCGTGACACCTGTTAAGGGCCTGTGCTTTGGCGTTAAGATGCCTAGATTGGAGTCTCAGTTCTCCAAATACCAACTGTGGTCAATCAAACTATCTAAATTACCCTGTCCTCCTGAGGCAGCTAGGTGACAGTGTTGGAGAAACCTACAATGGAATCCAAACCCTGTATATAGATGGTACAGCTAGTAATGTTATTCTGCTAAAGCGCCAGTCTCAGTAAATGCCGCTTTGTCACGGTACTCTTGCAATATATATATTTTCTGTCTAGAGCAGGAGTTGGTCTAATTTTATGTATTCATAAATTAAAATATTATGATGTATCTGCAAATGTCTTTCTGCTTCTAGATAACAGCTGCTTTTATTTCATTTGTTTGTTCTTGTGCTGTGGCTTTTCATTTTGTTTGTTTTTACATGGACTTTTTGTGTGTGTGTGTGGACACATGCATGTATGCAGGTTGGAGAAGAGCTTGCAGGAATAGGTTCTTTCCTTCCACCACAATGTGGGTTCCAGGATTAAACTCAGGTCATCCAACTTAGTGGCAGATGCCCTTATTTGCTGAGCCATCTCCCTAGCTTTGCTGCAGTCAACAGCCCAAGAGGTGGTGGGTGGCCTCGTGTAACCTGCTGCCACAGAAGGGGCAGACACTCACCTCGTGTGGGGCATCCGTCTCATTGAGCAGTCCCCCTCATGCTCGTCTTGCCCTTTATCTTCTAATGGAAGAGGCATTTATGGTTAATAATTGTGAAGATTTCAAATATCTATGCTATTTGAGAAAAGGCCCTTAAATATGGATTTGATATAAACTAAATACTGGATTTAGATGAATTCAGAAATTGTGAGTAGATCACTTACATATGGGATAAATATATGCTTCCATGAAGTGAAATTCTAAATGAAAACTGTGAAAATTGTGAATTCTAGTGAGTTTACTGAATGGATTCTTTTTATAGTCCCATCATTAAACTAGTTTGGGAAAGCAAATAATTTATAGAAAAATGTGTATCATAAAAATTAATGTGTAAAGCTAATAATAAAGTGTGTGGTTACCCTACATCAGTCATACCACTATTACACCAGTCAAAATACATTATATTTGTGTATGGAAATGCCATAATGAGGGCAGGGAGATGACTCAGTGGGTCAAAGCACTTGCCACACAAGCATGAGGACCTGAGTTCAAGTCTGCAGAATCCACATAAAGCCAGGCATTTGTCTGTAATGTCAGTACACCTATGGCAAAATTGAAGCCTTAGACAGGAGAATTCCTGGGAGTTTATATGTAAGTGGAAACTGCACTTTTGCTTCCTGGCCACCCAGACACAAATAATCACACAAAACTTTATTAAATATAACACTGTTTAGTCAGTGGCTCAGGCATATTTCTAGCTAGCTCTTAACTTAACCCATTTTTATTAATCTATGTAATCACCACGAGGCTTTTAAGGTTCTGGTGTCTTTCTCCTTCGGCAGCTACATGGCATTTGCCTGACTCTGCCTTCTTTCCTCCCTGCATTCAGTTTAGTTTTTCTGCCTAGCTCTATTCTGCCCTGCCATAGGCCAAAGCAGCTGTTTTATTAACCACTGGCAATAAAACATATTCACAGCATACAGAGGGGAATCCCACATCATTCATAGGTTAGCTAAAGAGGTGCCTTCAAGGTAGAAGGTAAAGACCAACATCTGAGGTTGTCCTCTCATCTCCACATGCATGTCTTGGCATGAACATACCTGTACTCATACATGAACATGCATGCACATGTGTGTTACACACCCATTCTCATAGGTACACACAAAGATTAAAAAAAAACAAAATGTGATAATGAAACCTGTAGCATGGGTAATAAAACCCAGAGCAAAGCAGCCAGCCACGGGCTCTTACCTTGACCTTAGTCTGAAATAGTGATCCTGCTTCCACGAATCCTCATAATGAGACAGCCTGAGACCTGTCTCCTCCCGTCTTATATTCCTCTTTAGTGCTGGGATTAAATGTGTGCACTGCCACCACCCAGCCTCTATAGCTAACCAGTGTGACTGCTGGGATTAAAGGTGTGTGCAACCTCTGCCTGGCCTGTA